ATGCTGGCTGGGGAATTCTGGGAGTTGGAGTCCACACATCTTAAAGTTGACAAGTCTGAGGCACACTGCTCTAAGGCATACTGTGTGTTGTATTGCAAGGGCACCCGGGACCTTGTTATGCAACAAGGACCGGAAAATTGGTTGTTAAGCAGGTTGGTCCTTAAGTGAGTCACCACATGACCGGACCCGAGTTTATGACCATTTTTACAACACTTGTTAAGTGAATCACTGTGGTCGTTAACTGAATCACATAGTTAAGTGAATCACGTGGTTGTTAAGCAAATCTAGCTTCCCCAATGGACATTCTTTGCTGGAATACGCTTAACGACCATGTGATTCACTTAATGACCATTGTAAAAAAGGTCACAAATCGCTATCATGCGACCATGAGGTGGGTGCAATGGTTTGCAATGATCATAAGTGTGAGTACAGGTCATAAAGCACTTTTTCCAAGGCCATCGTAACTTCAAACCATCGTTAAACAAACAGTCATTAAGTGAGAACTACCTGTAATTGATTATGTGCCATCAAGTCAGTGTTCACTCTAAGACAGACAGACATTCTCCAGGATGATCTGTCTCCCACCTGGTTCTTCATGTCTTGCAATGGTGCATCCATTGCTGTGTAATCAAGTCCCACCACTTCGCTGTTGGTCTTCCCCTTTAATGTTTTAGTTTTATATGTTTGGTTGTTTGATGCTTTAGACATATGTTTGGCCTATGACTATAAATTTGATTGGATGTGGATGGGAGACCACCACGAAATCTATATATTAGAACACCTTGGATGAAGGCAATGGCAAACCACTTTTACATTGCTGCCAGGAGAACTACACTGACCTAGTTCTCCAACAGTCCCTTTTGACATGCTGTTCAGGAGATTAAGCAACAAAAGACAATGCTCAGGAAAAGAGATGCCAGATTTTTTAAAAAATGGATGGAGAACATTCAGCAGTAACTTCTTTCAAAAGAAGGCAGAAGAACCAAGGGAGGAGGAGGAACAAAGGGAGAAGGAGAAGGGGAAGGGGAAGGGGAAGGAGAAGGAGAAAGAAGTCACCAGGATGCAGAAGAAGAAGCTTTTCAGAAAAACATCTGAAAGTATCCAATAACAGATTTCCCCCATAATAGTCCATTCCCAAACAAATTGTTAATCAGTATTAAATACTTCGACTGGACCAATTCCAACCTGAGATCTGGCATTCCAAGCTAGATCCGTTGTCTACGGAGGAACGGAGGTGAGACAAGAGTTAACAGCTCTTTTCTTTCCCCTTCCACCATAGCTGGAGAAGCAAATGCGGTTTTTCCTATGTGCATTACAAAATTCAGCAGTGAGATCATTTTGAAAAATATTTTGGGGGACTGCTGTGCAACTATAGCAACTTTATATATCTTCCTCTCTCTTTCTGTGGACTGGAATTCCAGACCCGAGTTGGCCCATCTGAAGTCATTTCCCTTCAGCCGAGACTGACTTTCATGGGAGGGGAGATGATTAATAGTGGTTAAAAATCCTGCCCTCCGGAGAAAGATTTATAGAGAAGAAAAGCCAGCCATGCTTTACAAAGTAGACGTGGAAGGCAAATCAGAGATTATGAACTTTTCACCTCCCAAGAAATTGCTTGCTCAAAGGCACATCAAAGAAAGTTATGTCCCAGGGAGTCCTGATGGACAAATCCAACAGTCCCTTTTTACATGCTGTCTGCGTTTCTGGGGATTAAACACCAAAGGGAAGATGCTGGAAGAAAAATGCCAGATATTTAAGTAATGGGTGGAGAACACTCAGGAGTAGCTATGTTGGGCTCTTTCCAAAGACGGCAGGAGAACTGGAGGAGGAGAAGGAGAGGAGGAGGAGGAGGAGAGGAAGAGGAGGAGGTGGAGGAGGAAAAAGAAGCAGCTTCTGAGCTTCTGAATCGTTTTCAGAATTGTGGCCTGCTAAGGAGAGGACAACAGAGCCATTTCCTCATGAGTGATTTATGACATCTTGGAGCCATCTTTGTTACTCTTACACTTCCACAGTGATGGTATGATGGTGCCATGAATCCCCTAGTAAGGAAACAGATCCAAACGTTCAAGGAAGGTTTTTATGTCACTTGAGCCCCATTAGGTGAGGGGTCTCTTGCTCTATGCTGGCCAGTTCAGGGTTGAGACCTTCGATGTTGGAAATGCCCATCCTTTCTGTAGGTCCCAGCTCATTCCGGACTACATAACAGGGGAGAAGAGGCCAATCAGGTCTCTCTTGGATCCTAAAAGGAGGTCCTGACTCCAACGTAGCCTTTCATAGATCAATGGGACATGACACGCTCGCTTCAGTCAGAGGCTAGGGAGACATTTCTTGGAGACACTCAACGTTGCATCCCTGCCCTGGGCTGTAGGTCAAATTTAGGGGTGTTCTGCAAGGCATGGTTAAAGGACCATGGCTGATCTAGAAAGGCTACGCAAAGCTTAGTACGCTGATGGGAGACCACTAGGAGATCACAGAAACAACTTGGAAAAGAAAACCACCCTGTAAGTAGACTTCAGCTCCCAGAATTCCCCAGCCAACTGTGGAACTCTGGGAGTTGAAGTCCATATATCTTAACCAAGGTTGAGAAATACTGCTCTAAGAGTTGAGTTTGGTTGGATTTTATAGACGCTGCTGAGTTGGAGGGTCAACGGGCAGAGCCAGGTGTGTTTGTATAAGACTCTGAAAAGGTGAGTTAGTTAAAGACCTACTGGCTGTGCTGGCCCAACAGGCCAGGGCTGGGTGGTATTAATCTTGATTTGTTGTTTTAGGGTTTATTGTTCAATCCTTTGTGCCGTCCTGTAAGGTGGGTTAATTCAGTAACCAGGTTATGGGTGTTGTGTGAATGCAGCCTGACAAATCAAAGGCTTCTTGGTGGAGTCAGGAAACAGACCAGAGGCAGATGCTACGAAGACCAGCATCTTTGCCAAAGATGCCCAATCTAGGTGGTCGGTTTCATTCAAGGGAGGTTACCCCTACATGTGAACCGTTCACTCTGGGACAGATAGGTGAATTCCCTGCTTTCAAACATGCCTGCTCTTTGGAGTAGCAGCATTCTGTAGTTCA